GAGGTGCATGATCATGCCTCATTGCAGCCTAGGCCTCCTGGGCTTAAGTAATCCTCCCACCTCAGCCTCCCCAATAGCTGAGACTCTAGGCACATGCCATTATGCCCAGCTAATTTTTTTGGTACTTTTTGTAGAGGTGGAATTTTGCCATGTTTCCCAGGCTGGTCTTGAACTTCTGGGCTTAAACGATCCACCTGCCTTGGCCTCCCAAAGTGCTGGGATTACAGGTGTGAGCCACTGTGCCTGGCCTACATTAGCTTTCTCAGACAACATTTTTTCTTGGAGTTAATAATTGCATTTTTAAAATTTGCTTGATGTCTCTATAGAAAAGTGGTTTTCCGATGGGCGCGGTGGCTTACTCCTATAATCCCAGCACTTTGGGAGGCCAAGGCAGGTGGGTCACCTGAGGTTGGGAGTTCAAGACCAGCCTGACCAACATGGAGAAACCCCATCTCTTCTAAAAATACAAAATTAGCCGGGTGTGGTGGTTCATGCCTGTAATCCCAGCTACTCTGGAGGCTGAGGCAGGAGAATTGCTTGAACCCGGGAGGTAGAGGTTGCAGTGAGCCGAGATCACACCATTATATTCCAGCATGAGCAACAAGAGCAAAACTCCATCTCAAAAAAAAAAAAAAAAAAAAAAAAGCAACGTGGTTTTCAAACTTTTTTTTAAAAGCAATGGAGCTTATCAGTCTCTAGAAAGACTTGTCTCCTTCCCTAGTGCAGGGCTCTGTCCACTCCCCATTCTAAACACGTTCCTTTCTGTTCTGAATAGGTTCCAGTGATGTTGCCCAACCTGCCCCTCCAGTGTTTCACCCACAGGCTGCTGGCTAGAAGCTCCTGTTATCTGATGGCCACCTACTGAATGGTTGGGTGCCTCTCAGATTTGGCTGGGCTGGGCTGGGTGCCAAACACTTAATGCAGACAGCTTTGTTCAGGGAACACTCCAGTGCAGCTTTTGAGATCAGATGGAAGGAACGACTCCATCGGAGAGCAAGTGAGCTGTGGAAGCAGAGCCTATCTGCCCAAGAAAAGCCAGCACTGCAGGAGGGAAGCTGGCCCACGATGACCAGTAGGGTTCAAGAACACTCACTTTTGAGAATCACACCTGTGTCGAAATCCCAGCTTTGCTTTCAGCTGCTTGACCTGGGGGAAGTAGCTTAAACTTTCTGGGCCTTAGTTTCCTCATACCTAATTAACAAGCATGTTTCGAGAGTTAAAGATAATGTAACTCTAGTAAATCGCAGAGTCACATGTGACCCAGCCTCTGCTTAGAGTCTCATTTTTTAAAAAATCAGATTCAGCTGGGTGCAGTGGTGCACACCTTTAGGAGGCCAAAGTGGGCTGATCACCTGAGGTCAGGAGTTCAAGACCAGCCTAGCCAACATAGTGGAACCCTGTCTCTACTAAAAATATAAAAAATTAGCCAGGCGTGATGGCTGATGCCTGTAGTGCCATTTACTCAGGAGCCTGAGGCAGGAGAATTGCTGGAACCCAGGAGGTAGAGGTTGTAGTGAGCCAAGATCACGCCACCGCACTCCAGCCTGGGCAACAGAATGAGACTCTGTCTCAAAAAAAATAATAAAAATTGACATTAAAATGAAAAAGAAATTTTTTTTAGACAGAGTCTTACTTGTGGCCCAGGCTGGAGTGCAGTGGTATGATCTCAGCTCCCTGCAACCTTCGCCTCCTGGGTTCAAGCCATTCTCATGCCTCGGCTTCCTGAGTAACTAGGATTACAGGTGCCCACCACCATGCCCAGCTAATTTTTGTATTTTTAGTAGAGACAGGGTTTTTCCATGTTGGCTGGGCTGTTTCCAAACTCCTGACCTTAGGTGATCCACCGACCTCAGCCTCCTAAAGTGCTGGGATTGCAGGCGTAAGCCACCGTGCCTGGCCTAAACAATCATATTCTAACAGCCCAGAAGTAATTTAAAATATATTCCAAACCTAATTCCATCTTTCTTAGAATATTGAAAGGGAGCCCCTTCATTACTGATACGAACAGTCTCCAAATTCTTTTTCTCTATCCCGTAATTTTCCCACAACATCCATCCGTGAAATTCTCCTGCTCCATCCTCTGAGGCTTTTCTTCCTTCTCTTTCGCCGCCTCGTTCTGCATCTTCCTACCACTGCCGTTTTCTCCAGGCCTGTTTTTTCCTCTGCCCATCCTGCCATGGCTCTGTTGCAAAAGATCAAACGATCTGGAAATGAGCCGATAGAGATGCAGACGAAAAGTGCTGGGGAAGAGGTCACGGCAGGACACACGCTCTGAAATAACTCTCCTTCATCTCACTGGGAAGTGCGAGGCATGTGCAGTAGCAAGGGCTTGGCAGAAAATGGTTCTCTTCCTCCTTATTATTCTGATGAGGAATCTGAGGGAGGGAGCCGTATGACCTCCTCCTAGACCCCCCCCCCTCTGTTCTGGCCACCTACCCACTGTTAGCAGATGGGCAGTGACTGGAGAAGCCTCCTTACCTTCTTTCCTCCAAGCTCCCCAAAAAAGTAGCATGAAAAAGACCCGAGGGATGGAGGTATAGCTTCTGCCCACAATTCCCCCTCCCTTCTCTGCCACCTTTGTAGCCACTAAACATGGAACAGCTCTTCCACACCAATAAACACTCGTTCCATCCTTTTGTGGACTCGTCCTCTCCCAGGAAGTCATGGACTGAGCACCTACTGGGTACCAGACCTGTAAGGGGCTGGAGATTCAGAAACGAGAAGGACACAGACTGTCCTCAGTTGCTCACAAACAAATAGACACAAACTGCAAAGCAGATATGGCTGTAGTTTTTGTTGTTGTTGTTGTTTTGAGACGGATTCTCGCTCTGTCACCCAAGCTGCGTGACCTCAGCTCACCACAACCTCTGCCTCCTGGGTTCAAGCGATTCTCCTGCCTCAGCCTCCCGAATAGCTGGAATTACAGGCGTGTGTCACCATGCCCAGCTAATTTTAGTATTTTTAGTAGAGATGGGGTCTCTCCATGTTGGCCAGGCTGCTCTCAAACTCCTGACAGGTGATCTGCCTGCCTTGGCCTCCCAAAGTGCTGGGATTACAGGTGTGAGCCACTGTGCCCAGCCTGGTTGGGTTATAATGGAGGGAAGCACAGAATGCTGTGAGAGCACAGAGGAGGAGATCTTCACCCAGTAAGGGACCAGGGAAGACTTTCTGGAGGAGGCGTCGTCTACACTGTGCAATCATAAGTGCTGTCATATATTGAGCATTTACTGATATTCTCTTCACTAAGTGCTTTGCTAAGCATATTAGCTCGCTTAATCTTCACAATGATGCTAAAAAGTAGACACTGCTATTCTCATTTTAGAGAGAGAAATTAACTCCCCCCACCCTTTTTTTTTTTTTTTTTTTTTGAGATGGAGTCTTGCTCTTGTTGTCCAGGCTGGAGTGCAATGGCACGATCTCAGCTCACTGCGACCTCTGCCTCCCAGGTTCAACCATTCTCCCGCCTCAGCTTCCCAAGTAGCTGGGATCACAGGCACACACCACTGTGCCCAGCTAATTTTTTGTATTTTTAGTAGAAACGTCATTTCACTATGTTGGCCAGGCTGGTCTCGAACTCCTGACCTCAGGTAATCCACCTGCTTCAGCCTCCCAAGTGCTGGGATTACAGGTGTGAGCCACTGTCCCCGGCCAACTTTTCTAAGCCACATAGCTAAAAAGCAGCAGAGCTGTGATTCAAACACAGGCCTGTGTGGTTCTAAAGACTATGCTTTCAACACAGGGCACTGTATACAGGTGTTCAAGATGTACGCTGCCCAAGGATGCCCATTCATATCGTAGAGAGAATGGCTCGCTCGTGTGAGAATGCCTAGGTGGATTCAGAGATTCAGCCAGCTCTGTTGACTCCTGGAGCAGCGGAAAAGAGCCTCCTTTTGATCCAAACCTGACTGTGCCCTGGGGTAGGCGGGGAGTGTGGGCCCCAGGGACAGGAGGTGCACTCCAGCGTCTGGGTGTGCGTGAATGGGGCAGAATGTGGGCCTATGTGTGTGCCGCCAGGGCTGCTGTCCACCCGGCTTCGGTCATTCCAGTGGGTAGTAACAGCTTAACTTTAAACACTTTTATTGATGCAGGGGCACCTTTTCCTCATTTGCTGAGGTGCGTATGAACAAGCAGCAGCCTGCCCCACCATGGCTGTGCAGCCTCCGGGCACCATTCAGTGTTGGGGAGGTCATAACCGCAGAGCAAGGTGGCCCAGCCTGCCTTGGCCCGGTAGGGCCCAAAGACAAAAATGAAACACAGGGCCGGGTGCGGTGGCTCATGAGGTCAGGAGTTCAAGAACAGCCTAGCCAAGATGGTGAACCCCTATGTCTACTAAAAATACAAAAATTAGTTGGGTGTGGTGGTGGACATCTGTAATCCTAGCTACTGCGGAGGCTGAGGCAGGAGAATTGCTTGAATCTGGGAAGTGGAGGTTGCAGAGACCCGAGATGGTGCCATCACACTGCAGCCTGTGTGACAGAGCAAGACTCCAACTCAAAATAAATTAATTAATTAATTAAATAAGCTGGCCGAATGCAGTGGCTCACGCGTGTAATCCCAGCACTTTGGGAAGCCGAAGCAGGTGGATCACCTGAGGTCAAGAGTTCGATACCAGCCTGACCAGTATGATGAAACCCCATCTCTACTAAAAATACAAAAATTAGCCGGGCGTTGTGCATGCACTTGTAATCCCAGCTACCTGGGGGGCTGAGACAGGAGAATTACTTGAACCCAGGAGGTGGAGGTTGCAGTGAGCCCAGATTAGGCCATTGCACTCCAGCCTGGGGAACAAGAGCATCTCCCTCCATCTCCAGATAAATCAATACAATAAAACAAAATAATAAAACACAAGTAAAGTCCTTAGGACCTTCCAGTCCAGTTGAGAGGCCCAGAAAAAAGACATTCCATCCAAGACCACACCAGGGCCATCAAATTAATCCCCGCCTCTCTCTCTCTCTCTCTCTCTCTCTCTCTCTCTCTCTCTCTTTCTTTCTCCTCTGCAGACAGGCAGGATTGAGCCCAACTACCCCAAGGTCTGCGGCCACCAGGGCAATGTGCTGGACATCAAATGGAATCCCTTCATCGACAACATCATTGCCTCATGCTCGGAGGACACGTCGGTGAGCGGAGGGGTGCTCCTTGAGGAGGGTGGGCCTAGGCTCCTCCCCACCCTTGGGAGGCCTCTCCTCCTACCCTCCCCTCTTCCTTCGCCCTTTGCCCTTCTTTCCCCCTGTTTATCATCCTTCCAGCCAGCGCCGAGATGGGCGGGGGGGTGGGGGACGGGGGCGGGGAGGGGGAAGGGAGCCAGGAAGGAACCGAGGGAGCAAATCCCTGCTGGATTCCACAGATCTGTGTTTTCAGTGTGATTGAGCTTGGAGGTGTTGCTTTTGTAGGTGAGAATTAGAATTTAAAAATTAAGTGTGTGATTCGGTATTCGTCTATGCTCTCCAAAGAAGGGCGAGAGAAAGAATATGAACAGGGAGGGAGGGAGACCCACAGTTTGAACTCCATGTGTTCCACCATTCAATGAGAAGAGAGCAGAAACAGGCGAAGGGAGATAAGTAAGAGAGATCAGGGAGGAGACAGAATAGATGGAGAAATGGAGACGGGAGGGAAAGGAGGGAAGAGAAAATTTAAAGAGGGAGATGAAGAATCCAGGGAAAGTGGCCAGGGCATAGTGGGTTCACGCCTGTAATCCCAGTGCTTTGGGAGGCTAAGGCAGGAGGATCACTTGAGGCCAGCCTGGGCAACACAGTGAGATCCTCCATCTGTACAAAAAAATTGAATTTAAAAAAAATAGCTGGGTGTGGTGGTGGACACCTGTAGTCCCGCTTGGAGGCTGAGGTGGTAGGATCACTTGAACCTGGAAGGTCAAGGCTGCAGTAAGCTGTGATTATGCCACTGCACTCCAGCTTGGGTGACAGAATGAAACTCTGTCTCAAAAAAAAAAAAAAAAAAAAAAAAAAGAGGTCGACCATGGTGGCTCATGCCTATAATCCCAGCACACTTTGGGAGGCTGAGGCATGTGGATTATCAGGAGTTTGAGACCAGCTTGGCCAACATGGTGAAACCCCATCTCTACTAAAAATACAAAAATTAGGTTGGCAAGGTGGCTTACGCCTGTAATCCCAGCAATCTGGGAGGCCGAGGTGGGCGAATCACCCGAAGTCGAGAGTTTGAGACCAGCCTGACCAACATGGAGAAACCCCGTCTCTACTAAAAATACAAAATGAGCTGAGCATGGTGGCACATGCCTGTAATCCCAGCAACTCAGGAGGCTGAGGCAGGAGAATTGCTTGAACCTGGGAGGTAGAGGTTGCAGTGAGCCGAGATCGCACCACTGCACTCCATGCACTTTAGCCTGGGCGACAGAGCAAGACTCCCTCTCAAAAAAAAAAGAAAAAAAGAATCCAGAGAAAGTGAAATTTGAAACTGCATTCTGGCCACTCCTTCCTCAGCCTTGACCAGTGCGGGTAGGGTCAGAGGTGCTGGCAGTAGCCTTCTGGAGGGAGGGTCCCATACTGTGTTCCACCCTACCCCTGAGCAGCATCAGCACGCCAGCTTGGAGGAAAGAGGAGATTTCAGAGCCTCAGCTGAGCTGGTGAGGAGGGCCCTGGTGTTCCCAGATGAAGGAGGATGAGCCTAAACCCCTGATGTTCCCAGGTAAAGGAAGATCCCAGCCTTTTAGTCAGGCCGCAAACATCTACCTGGTGCTCACTGGCAGAGACTGGGTACAGGTCAGATTTTCAAGATGTTGGAATGGGAAGGAACTTCAGAGCTCGTATCTCCCTCTCTTCCCAGACTGGGCTGTGAACTCCTGGGAGCAGAGGCCGTAGCCTATTTGGTTCTGAACCTCTTGCATCCAGCACAGGGCCTGGTAGTTAATAAATGCTTAGTAGGTGTTGGATAGGATGGATGGATGGATGGATGGATGGACTGATTGTTGAATGGATGGATGGATAGATGAATGGATTGTTGGATGGATGGATTGTTGGATGGATATATGGATGAATGGATAGATGGATGGATGGATTGATGTATGTATGTATGTATGGATGGATAGATTGTTGGATGGATATATGGATGAATGGATGTATGTATATATGTATGGACGGATGGCTGGATGGATGGATAATGGATTACTGGATAGATGGATTGTTGGATTACTGGATAGATGGATTACTACACTGATGGAGAGATGAATGAGTATATGGATAATGGATAGATGAATGAATGAAAGAATGAGTAAATGGATGACTGTATGATAGGTGGGTAGATGGATGAATGAAAGATAAACAAATGAACAAGTAAGTTAATATAGTTCAGTTATTCAAAGACAGATTCGCAGTAAATAGCCTCCCTCAGTTCATACGTTGGGGGCGAGGTCAGCTGGCATGCCACCTAGTACATGGGAGAGTGGTGAGGAGGGGACTGAAAGGGTGGAGTGGGCTTGACCAGCCCACAGTCAGTCACAGAGGACTCCTAAAAGTGGCAGCAGTGAGGGCAGGGCCCGTGGGAGCAAAGAGAGCAAGAGCCTGCGGTGAAGACAGTCCATCAGGCTTCAGCAGCCCCAGACCCAAATTAGGGACAGTGGTCAGGGGTCAGGACATAGGCAGGCCAGAGCTGCAGAAGGAAGGGCACAGGTGATGGAGCTGGGGACACAAGGAGTTCACTGGTTGCTTCCTGGGCTGAGAAGGAGGCAGATGGGCTGGTAGAGGCTGGAGAGCCCAGTGGCCCGCACGAGAGGCCTGGGCTCGGTGGGAGAGAGGGCAGGCGGATGCGCTGCCCATCCTTCTCTCCTGGATCCAGGGAGCCCAAGGAGTGTGGTGACTACAGCTGGCCCTGTCCCCGCCTGCTGAGGTGCTGGGAGAGTGGCGGGGAGAGCTGACTCCAGCTGCTCTCATCAGCCGGCAGTCAGTAAATGGCCCTGGAGCTCAGGGCTGCTCCTCTGTCCACTCTGGGCTGGGCCTTTCACATCCGTTTAGCCCTTACAGCCACTCTGTGAGACAGTCACTGCCACCCACAAACTGAGGGTTGGGGGGTAGGTCACAAGCCAGGAAGTGAAGGAGCAGGGGTTTTACCTGGCCCGCCTGCTGCAGGGCCGTGCTCTGTCAGTTTCTTCATCACAGACAGCCAACGCTGGAAGAGCCAGGCCCCTCCCAGCGGCTCCCGTCTTACCCAGGGACCCAGCTGGGATAAGAGAAGAGCAGTGCCCCTCTTGACGTAGCGGGGACAGATTGGACCAGGGCTCCTGGAACACTGGCCACCTGGGTCCCTCCTCAGGTCTCAATGTCTCCTGCCTGACTCAGGGTGAGAAGGATCTTGCCAGTCTTAGCTCTGCGTCTTATTTAACCTGATATATGCCTCATCCTGTAGGACCCCAGCTTGTAAGCAAGACATCCATGGTTTGTGTCCACGAAAAACATAAAGATGCATCCCCAACCACATGAGCCAAAGACTCTCTTCGGTTTTGCACACACTGATTGAGATACCATAGTATGCCCGGCACTGCCCTGGCTGCTGGGTCCAAAGAGCTCAACCATAGGATCTGGTAGAAACTGGGCTGGAATCTCAGCTTCACCATTTACTATCTGGGCGGCCAAGGGAATGTTACTTGGCCTCTCTAAGCCTCGGCTTTGCTTGCCTCTGAAACAGTAGGCACCTCCCTTTGGCAGTTGTGATGAGGATGAATGTTGGCCTGTGCCCAGTAGTATGCCTGGCCCCTCACTGATGCCTGCTCATCTCCCTTCTAGCAGAGGGGCAGCGGGTAGGGGGCAGGGCCCACCCTCCAAAATGTAGCCAAAATGTAGCCAAAATGTAGTGCACAATGAGGTCATTGAATCCATCCAGGTCAAGCAAATGGCTATGCACACAGAGAAGAGAGGGATTAGTTTTGACCAAGGTGCAGGGAGGAGAGGTAGTTAGCTGGACTTTGGAGAAGCGGGACCTTGACAGGCAGAAAAAGGGTTATAGAAGGAGTCCCAGCAAGAGACCCAGTATACCTGGTGTGCTTGGCCTGGAGGGAATGCATATACGGTGCGCTTAGAAAAGGGAGAGTCTGGCTGGGCACAGTGGCTCAAACCTGTAATCCCAGCACTTTGGGAGGCCGAGGCGGGTGGATCACGAGGTCAAGAGATCGAGACCGCCGGGCGCGGTGGCTCAAGCCTGTAATCCCAGCACTTTGGGAGGCCGAGGCGGGTGGATCACGAGGTCAAGAGATCGAGACCATCCTGGTCAACATGGTGAAACCCTGTCTCTACTAAAAATACAAAAATTAGCTGGACGTGGTGGCACGTGCCTGTAGTCCCAGCTACTCGGGAGGCTGAGGCAGGAGAATTGCTTGAACCTGGGAGGTGGAGATGGCAGTTAGCCGAGATTGTGCCACTGCGCTCCAGCTTGGTGACAGAGCGAGACTCCGTCTCAAAAAAAAAAAAAAAAAAAAAAAGAAAAGAAAAAAGAAAAGAAAAAGGAGAGTCATCTGGTGTGGCTGGAGCCCTGGGGTGGGGGTCAGTGAGAGGAGTGGGCAGGAAGGGAGGCTGTGAAGGGCAGCTGGGCCCAGGGAGAGCAGGCTTAGGATGCAGGGTGAGCAGCTCAACTCTGCAGTGAGACCTGTGCTTCTCAAGCCATCTGAGCATCAGTGGACTCCACCGAGTGTGGTGCATGGGAGACAGTACACGCTCCAGAGAACCCAGGGAAGCGGACCCGTGTGGAGGGAGGGGGTCACACACAGCTTTATGCAGGACATGGGGCCTGAGCTAGCTGGATGCAGGTGGATCAGTGGAGAGAAGGGAAGAGCGAAGGGGTGTGTCTGGAGGAGTCAAGGGAAGGGCCCCTGCTTGGGGCACAGAAAGGGAGGGGCTGGCCCAGGCTGCTGATCCAGAGACAAGGAGATTAAGTCTCTGGATCAGAGAGGAACTAAGCTCTTGCTCCGGCTGCCAGGCCAGCTGCCCCAGAAGCACAGCCCCAAACCCCATCTTACCCGGCTGTCTACCCCTCCCCACCTCGGGGCTAGGGATCTTGGCATTGGAGCCAACAGGTCCCTGAGGCTGGATCCCAGCCTCTCCTGGAGGAAGCAGTCTGAGGCCCTAAGGGAGGTGCCTTGCCCAAGGTCACGCAGGGA